CTCTGAAAATCGTTCCAGTGAAAGTAAAAGCAAAAATGCAAACGATCTTCTACGGTAGAGTCGTTTAGAAATGCCAACAATTGCAGTCGCTTCGAATGCTGCTTTCATTGATTTTAAAGCTACATTCGATTTTGTGCAATGTACTACGGGATCGAAAATTTTAAAATGCCATAGAATACTTGAAAACTGCTTCCATTCTGGAAAAACATTGCAATAGAGTTCCATCTGCTACTGAAGCCGAACGTGGCCACCTGATTGGTTTCTTCTGGGAACTGTGCTTACCTGTGCAAAGACTAAGGTCTGATTCTAATCGGGAGGAACCGTTTAAGATATCCAACAGGATATCTTGCTTACCGAAATTATGCAGATGATGTAGTGCTGGTGGTAGCAAGCCGCATTCGCCATGCTTCGGCTTCAGCATCCAACATTTTTATGAAAACCGATAACTTAAATCATCAGTAACACGTCAGGCGACAGGTTCAAAATTTTGATAGATAAGTCCAACGCTTAACTAACTTAAATACGTCTGTTCCATCATCTTTAGCGACGATATTACCTAATTAGTGTTAAATATAAGGAACACTCAGTTACAGTTCTTTCGGTAACCTGTTCAATATTTGCGCTGGAAAGGAATTTCGCTTCCCGAAAAATCCACCTCACCTGTCTGTTACCTCAACAGTTTTAAGTTAAGGTTAGTTAGTTTAAGTTCCATAACCTTCAGTGTTTATGTACGGCAAGAGACAGTCTTTATCGCAAAATTAGAACGACGGTTGAACAGCATGTAAGAGCCCTGACTTAGGGCACAATATGAGGGTTTAATGACAGTGTCATATGCGATTTACTCTATGTTATTCCTGAAACCGGCGCGCTTATAAGATATAGAGGTTATGAGAAGGAAGTTAGCTTTCTTAGAAAAATTGTGGTTGAAGCCTTCACTCCATCCCGTAAGCCTCTAATGTGGGGACATAAGAATGATAGACATTGAGGTGGAGGCCAGGGTGCGGTATGAATTAAAATGATATGAGTGGATTTGCGTTAAGGAAGAAATTGAGCATTGTTCCATGCAGTAGCTGGTGTCTTCGGACAAATGTGTTTAAAATCTGAGAATGCAGCGGATGTCGCAAACCTGGAAAGTCCTGTTAATGAAAATGGTTGAAATTGATAATCGGAACAAGCATATGTAGAACAGACAAATATAACAAATAGAACAGTCAAATAAGCGAATAGAATAGAAATGGATGTCATTCATTTACTGAAACTTCTATTCTGCTAGCTGCTGTCTCACTACGTAACGACCTACCCATCGAATGCTCGAACGACGGAAAAGGAGCGACGCTGTTTTCATGTAGACAGACTGAAGAACCCTATTCCTGCTGCCTAAGAGTTTACCGTTTTTTAATACCCGGAACTGCCGTATAACCGCCTGAAAAAGGTATTATCGCAATGGTTCCCAACCATTGATGTCAACAGAAAAAAGACGTAGTCTAACTCCAACTTATAAGCATTCTTGTAAAATATTCCACGGTCTTCTAGTCAAAACAATATCATAACAATTTCGTTGAGCTTTAATAGCGCAGTTAGCTGGTATCATCAGATCCAATATTCAAGGGAATGACGTTGAGATGGAATCAATCAATCAAAGTTATTATCCATCTTGAAGTACTAAAATACCCTTCACGAAACGAGGTGCAGACATCGGAAATGAATTTCCTAGTCGCGAAGCTACGCCGGGGTCTGGCAACAAATGAAAGGAGGGAGACTCCAGCTTTAATACGGAAAAGCTGCAGAATCCCATCACTCAAAAGATACTTCTGATTGAAATCAGTAACAAATTCGCTGCTATGAATGGCATCGCCATCTTTCAAGAATCGGAGCTACTTAATAACCATCTTGAAGAAGACATCGTCATTGCCGCTGCGAAGGCTATTGGCTTCAGTAGCAGAAAGACAAAGTAACCCTGACTCTTGACGGAAGAGCTAAAGTACATAACATTACGACCGAGGAAAGTGCACGCTGGTTCCTCGTCAAAGCGTTAGATGAGAGCTAGCGTATGACAGCAGCTGGACCTCGATGTTCTGAAAAGGAACAGGAGGACTTAATGCGGCCATGTGAACATCATTTTAACGATGGCAAGATGTTAAACAGCAAGATCGAGAAGCTGAGATTCTCGGGAACGACGGATCATGCAACTTTTAAACATGCTTGATCATGCTATAGATTCTTGACATTAAAAAGGTCAGTTAACAAGATCCATCAGCAACGATCATGGAAATTCAAAAGGCGATTGGATTCTGCCAAAATTTGAAGTTTTGCAGTCAGGATGGCGTTGGTGCGGAAATCCAGTAATACGTAGACAATAACTATCTTACGTGAATTCAGCTAGTATTCGATAGCATGAGGTGGTAGTTGAAGTCAAATATCTTCAAAGATTTTAAGAAAGGCGTGCCTTTACTCACCGGCGGTTGAGCCGATTGCATCAGCTATCGAAGAATCACTCTTCTACCTGTGCTAAAGAAGGTGATAACGCGGTCAGATCAGTAGACGCTGCATAGGCAAGGAGAATGCTATAACTGAGGGATTTTGATGGAGTCATCCAATGTCTGTAGATGATTTTGTTATGTTACTTTCTGCTCATACTGACCTTTAACGTGCTCTTCATAGGTTTGCTGCCTCATGCGAGGAGGCCAGAATGAACTTCATCTTGTTAACAAAAACTGAAGCTGTTTTGTTTCGAGAAAGGGTGCTCATTGCGCTCCAGACTAGGGATTTCTTCAAGAGTTTGACCGCTCAAGCTCAGACGCTGGCACAGGTTAAAGAACGTTAGACTCGCTCTCTGAAGCTGCTTCCGCAACTCGAAACGATAGGCGGCCGGCAAAACTGACGGACTGACTAAGAAAACACAGGCTGCTTCGAATTCCCTGAAAATCGACTTTCTAGGCAGTGATGCCTTCGAAGTTGGGAAGCTACTCGCATCTCCAAAACCAGTACCATGGATGTCCCGTAAAGATATATGACTGATTTTTGAATTAGCAGTCAGTACTACTTGTGGTACATCGAATCACTGTTTCGATCATGTCAGACAGAAAATTTGTCACCGCTCAGTTATTCTTTATGTTTGGTGCATATGTTAGAGACTCAGTAATAATCAAAAATTAATAAGATGTTTCCTGGAAAAATGACTTAATGTTAGATGGCAGAGAACGATGGAATCGCGTTGCCAGAAGAATAAACGTGATCCAATCAGTTGACGTTATTTAGTCTAGACCATGCGTATTATTAGTATATGCTGCCCTGTTGTGTTGATTTCAGCTTGCTGTTTCAAACAGTCGAGCAGAGTAGAATACATTTCACTGATCTCTGTAACGCGGGATCTGTAGGAACATTCGTAAAGGAGCTTTTACATTTAGGTTATTTTCCACACGCGAATTTTTTCTCGATGCAAAGATTTTTCGGGCATGTTGTTCAGCTTAGAAACTAAGAGATGAAAGCATTATTGGCGTTAAGTTTCAGCTTTAAATAAAATTCCTGCGGTGCGAAAAGGCAGTATGCAGCATAAAGAGACTCAAAAGTGAGGCGTGTGAGCTATTCCTGCCTGGTATTTTTCAGATATCTCCTAGCTTTCAGTCCAACCCACAATTCGAATAAACAAGGAAGCCGAAGTCTTTGCAACAATATGAGAATGAGCGAGGGACGTGAGAGGAGAGGCGTGGACTTATTCGTGTCGATGCCTCCTCAACGAAAACTGCGTTGAAGGGCGCCTGTTGATTCGTCGGTGAAGCTGAGCGAGGAGTCAAATAACGAAGCAACGAATGGAACTGCGAACGATTGAGTGACGACGCAAACTTGAGCATGGGTAATCAGAATTAATTCCTGGAATTAGCTGTTCGTTGCCATCCGCCTCCGCTTATTGACGACCGGGATTCCACAGCGGTCAAACACGATGTATATCGGGCCGAATTCTAAGAAGTACTCGAAAAATCTGGCGCGACGCGACCACGAGCTCCAGCTAGTATATAAGCGCTTTCCCAGTTTCCTCCGCAGTTGCGTTTACACTCCGTCCATTGCGAGCGAATTTTCGATCAGTTAAACGATCAGATTCAATATGTGCGACGAAGAGGTGGCTGCTTTGGTTGTGGACAATGGCTCTGGTATGTGTAAGGCAGGCTTTGCAGGAGACGATGCACCACGTGCCGTTTTCCCAAGTATCGTCGGACGACCGAGACATCAGGGCGTTATGGTGGGAATGGGCCAGAAAGACAGCTACGTCGGAGACGAGGCACAAAGTAAACGAGGTATATTGACTTTGAAATATCCTATAGAGCATGGAATTGTGACAAATTGGGACGATATGGAGAAAATATGGCATCACACTTTTTACAACGAGTTGAGAGTAGCTCCGGAGGAGCATCCAGTGCTTCTCACTGAAGCGCCCCTCAACCCGAAGGCAAATAGAGAGAAGATGACGCAAATTATGTTCGAGACATTTAACACCCCGGCAATGTACGTTGCCATTCAAGCAGTCTTGTCACTCTATGCCAGCGGTCGAACGACCGGAGTAGTACTGGACAGTGGGGACGGGGTTACTCATACAGTACCAATTTATGAAGGATACGCGTTGCCTCACGCTATCCTGCGTCTTGACTTGGCTGGTCGTGACCTCACGGATTACCTCATGAAAATTCTCACAGAAAGAGGCTATTCCTTCACGACTACGGCAGAAAGAGAAATCGTTCGAGACATTAAGGAGAAAATGTGCTACGTTGCCTTGGACTTTGAACAGGAAATGGCAACTGCAGCGTCTAGCAGTTCACTGGAAAAAAGTTACGAATTGCCCGATGGCCAGGTCATAACGATAGGCAACGAAAGGTTCCGTTGTCCGGAAGCTCTGTTCCAACCGTCGTTCTTGGGTATGGAATCTTGTGGTGTGCACGAAACGACTTATAATAGCATAATGAAATGTGACATCGATATTCGAAAGGATTTGTACGCCAACACAGTTCTATCCGGCGGAAGCACCATGTTTCCAGGCATTGCCGACCGTATGCAAAAAGAGATCACCGCACTCGCTCCAAGCACTATGAAGATTAAGATTATTGCTCCACCGGAAAGGAAATATTCGGTGTGGATAGGAGGATCGATTCTAGCTTCTCTATCCACGTTCCAACAGATGTGGATAAGCAAACAGGAATATGACGAGAGCGGCCCGTCGATTGTTCATCGGAAATGTTTCTAAACGACAAGACAATAGACTGAGCAATGTGAACTTGTTCAATAACGTTACGCTGATTTGTATCGGCCAGTTACCTTTTGTATTGTTTTGCTGTGGAAGGTAGTATTGAACACTGTTTTACATTAAAACGCCTTAAGATCGGTTGCGAGTAAAATGATTTACTAAGGCCTACGAGGTCTGTAATGAATTTCACCGCCGTCTTTCTGGCGGTCCCTTAAAAGCCGTAAGTTAAAATTGAGGAATATCAACTCTCAACGTCGGTAGCTGGCAAACGTGTCTGCCTATT